CATGACAATACAACAAGTAGCAGACTTGCTGCACGAGCACTACAGATTTAGAACAATTCCAAATAATTACTTCAAACAAAAACAACTACTACCAAAACAACCTAAAGATATAAAAACCATCTTTATATACATATATCCTATAACAGAAGACGAACAAACAAAGAAATTCACACGGAGGACCATTTATTTGACGGTCAGACCCAACGTACAGGGCAGACTATAGTATCTTGCGCAGCTGTGAAAACTGAGCTTGAAATGGCGAGCGACTCTGCAAAAGTGCCTTTGTCCAAATCATTACCAATATCATCAAACTCCTATGATTTGGAAAAATGCTATAACAAATTCCTTACTTACTATCATCTTCTTCTACTAAACGAACCTCAAACTGTCAAGTCCTTTCGTCAACACCTACAACACAACAATGTTAACTACTTAGCTAAGTTTAGCTTCATTACTGTGAACAGTGACAAAACTGAAGCACATGTGTACCTACCACATGAATTCAACATACTGCCAAACCACTACATTCTATCAACTCATGACTCTACTGATATTCCTCTAAAATCGCAATCAAATACTCCTATTTTTCTACCAACCTCTCACCCTCAACCAACATGCCAACCACTTGATCTAAATATCTGTACTCATAATGTCAGAGGATATAACACTGACCTTAAACAACAAATTTGGGAAGATTTTTGTCTTACCAATAACCTTAATATTATTAGTATTACAGAAACCAAAATAGCTGACACTAACTCTATTACCAAAATTCAAAAATCCAGACACTTCACATACTATTGGTCATGCACCAATAGCTCCAAAGCTGGTACAGCTATTATGATTAATAATTGGATCAAACCTCACATTCATAAAATCCTCACTATCCCAGGATATGCAATAGCTACAGATATTTTCTTTAAACATGACTTTAAATTCAGAGTTATTTCAGTCTACTTACTCTGCGATGACCTTCAATTAAGATTAGAAATACAAAATTCTATTATTCAATAGATATAGCAAGCAGCCACTGCTAACCTACAAACTATTATTCTAGGAGACTTCAATGCCTCTGAGGATAATTCTCACTCTCTCTTAATTAAATATAAACTACTTCAATACCTTCAATACAACAACATGTATAATTTAGCTACACACACTCAATCATCTACAATTACATGGCAAAGTAGCAGAACCCAAAGTAGTATTGATTACATTTGGGCTAATCACTCAATCCTCCATTACTTGACCTCCTTTCATATGGATGATCCAAGTACTAGCACTAAAAGCGATCATAAAATTCTAATTTCTTCATAGACATTCCCATATGCTTTTACAGGCAAACATCAAATTGCAAAAGAGTATTTCTTTACAAAAATATGAACAATGAGCAATGGTAAATATATTCTAACCAAGTTTCATCTAATCTCAGAGCTAACAAAACTCTACTCTCTTTAGACACATCTGAAACTCTCGAATGTACCTGGCACAAGATACAAACTAGTACCATCACTGCTGCTCTACAGCATATCCCTAACAAAAAGTTCATGTACGAAACTTTCAACATATATATTCACCTAAAGCATCTCTATTACACTATAACCTCAAGAAGCTTCGTAATATTATTCGACAAGTTAAAGTGTCACTTAAAAACAAAACACCCATATTATTGCATCATAATCCTACTATTGACCAACTTAATAGTACTTATCAACTCAATATTCCACACCTTCCTATTGAATATACTTTCTTACAAACTGGCTAAATACTTGTAATGAAGAATGGAAAGCACTATATCATGCACGCAATATCGAAAATATCAAAGAAATTCACCAACAAATCAATGATAGCATCTCTAAAAGATGTGACAAACTTCTATCTAATCCTAAATCTATGATTAATAGCATACTTAATCACCATAAAGATCCTGTTAGATTTGATAATATTAAAACTGAAAACGATATCATTACTGATACACAAGAAATCAAATCATATATACAACAACATTTCAATAAGTGAACAGATTATCGAAATATCAATCAGCAAATATTCAATTCTACATGGCAAAACGAATACAGACCTAAACCAATATTCAAAATGAATGGTACAATAGTGTCCTTAGTGAATTCTCACTAGAAGAGGTCTCAGTTACATTGTCACAACTTTCTAACAACAAGGCATTTGGTCTATTTGGAGTTAGTTATAAGATGCTTAAACATGCCGGAACATCCTTTCTGCAAGCAATCACTGCTCTATTCAATAGATGTATCAATACTAACTCAATTTCCAAACAATGGAAAGAAGGAAGAATCTTTCCAATTTCCAAAAAACCTATCTTTGATGGCAATTTGACTAATACTAGACCTATTAGCCTTTTGGAACATATCAAAAAACTATATACCAAACTTTTAACCAACCGACTAAACCACATATTTACTAAACATGAAATTCTTTCTCTTTACAATTATATTGCACTTCCAGGAAACTGCACTGCTATTCCTATTCACATACTTAACAATATAATTGAAGAAGCCTCTTGCAATTCAAAAGAGCTTTGGCTGCTATCGCAAGATATGAGCAAAGCTTTTGACTTTGTGAACCTTGACCTATTCAAACTATCACTGCAACACATTAATATGCCACCAAAACTTATAGATATACTTACCAACCTTCTTTCAAACCATCAGAATAAAGTCATCACTAATCATGGGCTTACTAATCTCTATATAGTCAAAAATGGCATTAACCAAGGAGAAACCATCACACCTCTTTTTTGGAGAATCTATTATGATCCTCTCATTCACAAAATCTCTTCACAATTCACAGGATATACTTTATCTACTTCATGGCAAACCAGCCTACAACCCAGAACTAGTAAACACCTTCAAGCCTCAACCTCAGTATTAACCTATATGGATAATATATTATAAATAGCTTAATCCAAAGAGGAAATAATCCAAATCACCCAAACTGCCTCATCCTTCTACCAAATGGCAGACATACAAATTAACCCAACTAAATCTATATTAGCTACCAACACAAAATCTTCTTCTATTCCTTTTATCAATTCTACAATTCACTCTATCCCAGCTAATCAACCCTTTAAATTCTTGGGTTGTTGGTTCACTCTTAATAATAAACAATCTGAACAAGTCAAACTAATTCAACATGAAACATTCCAACTAACTTATATTGTCAGCACAAAGAAAATCACTGACAAGCAGATTGCTTATATTATTAACACTGTCATTATCCCTATATTAGAATATAGAATTCACAATATAGTACTTTCACATACTACATGCAACCACATTTTAGCCAAATATCTTACTATCGCTAAACACAAATCTCATCTTGCAAGATCAATACCAAACAGTACTATGCTTAATTCATATCTATACAATATTTGTAATATCTGGGATATTCAACTACAACACCATATAACCAACTTCCTCTAACGTATTAATAATCCTCATCTTTTAGAAACCACAACCCACATCAGATTACAACAACTTCAAAATAATCTATAGTCAACTACAAATATACTCCAGCACTTACAACCCATTATCGATGGCCCAGACAAGTATACACTTAACTTCAAGATTATCCAGCTTCTCAATCACCTAAATATATCTATTACTGCAAATTCCAACATACAATGGCCGAATACTATCAAACACAACCTACACCTACTCGAAAAAATACTTATAAACAACCCAAAATATATTGCTTTTAAACGTCAACTAAGAAAACTAAAATTACTTTATCTTGAACAATTATGTACAGTTGACAATACTACACTTCTAGAATGGAAACACCTTTCTCCTAAAATTCTGCATTTACCCAAAGGAAGAGAATCACTATGGTTTCAAATACTTGAAGATATAGTTCTTGAAAACAAACACCAACGTTCATTATACGCACAGTACCAACAACAGGGTGTTAACATCTTCGCTTACAACTCTTATAATATCCCTAAAAAATCAAAACCATAGTTACTTTCCTTTAATGAAAATGAAATCATTATAGACAAGATCCGAACACATCATTTAGACTCCAATACATTCTCTATTACTCATTGGCAAACAAACATTAATACACATAATACCGAATTCTACCCACTTCCACTTATTAACTGCAGACCATGTTCTGGCTGTAACCTTAACTCAAATAGAATCTCTTCAGTCTATACTATTAATATATCAGCTATTACATCTATACAATTCTTTGGAAGAATCTCCTCTAATTCACTTAAATTTAATGCTAATTATATAGACCTTATTTTTTCTACAGCTGTTAAATATCCAATACCTTCTGCTTTACCCTCTTTACTGCCATCTATCCCTATCTACTCTTCAGCTGCATCTGAAATATTTTATCCTAGTGATAAAACAAACAATCTAATTGAAATTTCATTATCCAACTCAACCCAAAACACTTTTAACTTTTATACTAATGGCTCAGTTATTGACATAGGTACTAACCAGTGCTCTATGGGCATAGGCTGGGTTCAAATAGACAATAATAATCAAATAATCTATAAGTTCTCAGCCAAGATCCACTTATGGCCAACTTCTTACAAAGCTGAACTTTTATCTATTCTATCTGCTATTTCAACCACTCCACGCAACTCTTTCATCAATATCTATACTGATTCCCAATCTATCATTTCTAAATACATTAAGCTTAGCTCCTCAATAATCAATCTTAACAAACTTCTCAAATTTAATGCATGGCCTTTATGGCACACACTCCTTAACTTAATTCAATTTTTTAAATTACATATTACCTTCCACAAAGTTCAGACCCATACTGATAATACCTTTAATAATTTAGCTGATTCACTAGCTAAACAACATACTTTTCAAATATTATTAGACTTTAATTACACCAATATATACAACCCATACCACTCCTTGCAATGGGAAGAAGAACTGTATCCAGTAGAACACTCTACCAGATACTTTATCAAAACTATCTGTAAAGCCCATATTTTAGCTATGTGGTCATCTCAAAAACGAAATAATGAATGGTCTTCTCTTAATCAACAAATTGATTGGAGATCTATATGGCTTTACTTTAATCATAATTATAAACCAACATACAACCTTACCAACTTCAAACTTAATCAGCTTAAGTCCTTTAAAATTAAAACATTACTTAATGAGTTGCCTACTTATTCACTTCACCACACACTATATCTTAAATTTTTCCACAGTAACAAATGCTTTCACTGTAATTCTCTTGACTCTCCATCACACTGGCGTACCTGTGTCAATTCTTCATTACTTTACCAATTAATTCTATCCACTATCACAAATTACCTTCACTTAGTTGAACTTGATATATCTAAAAATGAACTAGAAAATTTAATTCAAAAAATTTATAAACATGAAGCATTCTATAATATAGCACCACAACCTTACTCATATTATATAGAGCCCACTCTCAAAGGCCTGATTCCCCGATCTCTAATTCAAACTATTCAAGACTACAATATTCCTTATAAGACAGCATCAAATATTATAATTAAAAATCTATTACTTAAAATTAATGAATAGTTATACAAACAAATATGAAAACCTTATTGTACAAATTTTGCTAATTAAAAAAAACAGCAACAACTAACCTTTTTATACTCTAATAATAACTCCACTCAACAACTTGATAATCCAAACTCTGATATTTTAAACCCAAATCAGCAACTTAAAAATACTAACTATATATAACAAATATATATATTCTCTTGTTTATGTGAATTACCAAACCAATTATACTCACATACTAGAGTTAGTCTACTAGTTGACAAGGCTAAAAAGAAAATTAACACTTGGTCTATACATTGGGCCAAATATAGTTTTTCATTAAATTATATCTTAACTTTAGTAACCTAGATAAGCCTTTGATCACTCTAGTAGGTTTAAATCATAGATAAATTTTTTTTTGTCTGAGCTTTTATTCTTGTATATAATTTTTATTTTCATTTGTACTAGTACAAATAGTAGCAGCTCTATAAACCTCTATATTGTTGTAGTAATCTATATTGTACTATTTCAAAAATTATCTATATTTGTTTTTTGTTACATATAGCATCTTCTATAAAGTTGTTGAGTATATATATTGGGTTTTTTGTTGAGTTGCCTGAAAGTGCAACATAGTTATATAGGTTGAATATGGTATATTTTGTAAAAACTTTAGTTAGTCAGTTTGTGAGAATTTTTGTATAAAGTTTTTTAATGTATTCGATTAAGCTGATTGGTTGAATATTATTAAGGTTGTCATCAAATTGTAGTTTTTAGAGATGAGATATATTCTGCCATCTTTTCATTGTTTGAAAATGTTTTATATATTAATACATCTATTAAAGAGTATAGTAATAGCCTATAATATATTATATCTAATATGTTTAAACATTTCATAATTAACTTTTGATAGTCTATACACTTTGTTGTTGAGTAACTGTTGAATTGTTTGTATAACTTCTTCTATGCTGATTTCTTTAAATATATGATCATACCATTCTGTTCTTATTTCTGGTTTAGGTTGGTATTCATTTTTTTAGTCTTGATCAAAAATTACATTATTATATAGATGATATAATATTCATTTATCATAGTGGTTATATATATATTGTTTGATTTTATTTGGATTGTTAATAATATCTGTATCAGTTTTAATATTCTCAAAGTATACAGAATCTTTATGTCTATTAAGTATACTATTTATTATTTTTGTTAGATTAGTGAGTAATTAATCGCATCTGTTGTTAATGGCTAGGTTAATATGTTGTCTTAGATGTTATACATTTTTAAGATTTCTTGCATTATATAAAGTTTTTCAGTATTCTTTAGTTTCTTGTATCTATAAGGCTAGATCAGATTGGTGGTGTGATGAAGCATTAATTGTAAAGTTATATTTAGTGTTGAGATTATTAATTAGATCTAATATATTATTAGATATTGTAATATTATATGTGAAAAGAGTGTAGTGACTTTTTGTAGTAGTGAAGTTGTCGCACCCAAGTGGCAGCGATTAGAGTTTGAATTCTACTGACAGCAAAAATTCAAATTTCAGAATATATTACAGCAGATTGTAAATGTAATTAGACAGATTGGTATCTGTAATCTGGTTGTACCAGTTGTACTGAGAGGCTATAGAATGTAGTATAACGTATGAGTTATACAAAACTCAAGTGAAACAGTTGTGTAAATTCAGAGTTAGTACACATGAGAGCCCACTTGCAAGATCTGAATAGAAAGGTAATACAGATCTTTGATGGTACTACATAAAGAATTATTAACTAAAAAACTGAAAAACTAAACAGGACTGAAGTATTTGGCAAAGCACTTCACCAACCTGGCTGCCAAAGAGTAACTGGAAGAAAAGGACCCAACCGTGGGGAGCCGAAGCAGATCACAGCCCTTCTGAGCCATCTGAATTAGAAGTTTAGGATAACGAGTATACAGCAGATAGTCTGTATAGTGGGTACTGGGTTTGGATAAACTCTATAAGGGCAGTAATAGGTAACTATAGCGGTCTCAGCTTGCAAGAACTTGTCTTCAGACTTGGCGTAAGTTATCAAAGAAGATTAGGTAATATGATAATAGTGGGTACCAGACTGCTTTAGCAGGTGATGCACTTGAGGATGAATTGGTTAACCATATTGGTAGTTCTATAAGTAGAAACATGATGATCTTGGAACTTGGACTAACTTATATATCATATGTTTCAGGTGAGATTAGATATATTGGTAGGGAAACTCAGATCAGAGGGTTTAATTGGATAACTCAAGTAATAGTGTGTTATAGGTATAGTATTTAGTGTAGAATCTAGTAATAGATAGATACTTAATTAGGCACTCAAAAGGCACAAGTATGGCTAGAATGTACTCTCATCAGAATGTATTTGTCTAGAGTCCCCTTGAAAAGGGCACCACATGATTCTATAATCTAATAAAAGTAAAAAGCCAAAGAGGCTAATCTTGATTACAAAAAAAAAAAATGTTATGTGTGAAATATTTTTGAACTCAGTATATTATATATCCAATTGTTTTGAGATCTTTGTGAAGTTGTGTTGCTTTAGAAGTAAATGTATGAAAAAAGTTTTTTGTTGTAATTTTCTTGTTTGAGATATATTGGTATGCAGTATTAATAATACAAGTGTAAATTTTATACTATGTCTTTTTAAGACTTTCTGTTGTATTAAGGTTAGTTAGAACTTAATATATAGCTATATTTGTATTAACTTAATTAGCAAAAGACTCTTAGTCTTCATTAAACATTGATTTATAGTTAAATACTCTTCTTTTACATTTAAATTTTTAGTTAATTTAGAAAGTGCAAATAGAAATATCCAGATTGAGATTAGAATTTGATAATCACTATTTGTAGAGAAAGATGAATTGTCTATTTTAAATTGATTAAGATATAGTATCAATATATTACTAGCCCATATATAATCGATTCTAGTTTAATATCTGGTGCTTTGTCAGATATATTATAGACTGTTTATGTAATTAGCTAAGTCATATATATTTGTATTATGTAAGTAGTTAAGTAGTTGAAACTTAATAACTGATGATATTATTAAATTAGTATTTGCATTAAAGTCACCAAGGATTATTAAATATAGATTTAATGATATAGCTTGTTGTATCCATGCTATTACCTTGTTTTGTATTAGTTTGCAGTTTGTAGTATTAGTTGAAGAGAGATAGACTAAGATGATTCTAAATTTGTGATTATTTTTAAAAAATAAGTCTATTGCTATTGCATTTCCTAAAAGGTTAAAGATATTGTGAATATAAGGTTGAAATTTGTTTTATATCATAATATATATATCTTCTATAGTATTTGATAAATTAGACTAGCAACTCTTTCTGACGATCCTCTGGTCAACAACAACAAAAATCGAACTACAGCAAAACATATAGAAAAGCGACGAAGTGGATACTAAAACTTGGTCCTATAAATAGGAGCAGCTTGTTGTCGACAAAGTCTAAGCA